CTGGGGGCTTTACTTCATCCTCTCCTCTTCAGTTTCTCCTTCAAATGTCCCCTACAGACAACGAACCGATCACAGAGCACCAATTAAAACAGTTTATACAAGAAAGTGTCTCTCCCAAGATGAAGCTCCCGTTTATCAGTGAACTTGGCAAGCAAAGAACAAAACTTTTGCAGATGGCTGGGCCATACACAGACCAAAAAATATCAACAATCCCTGATACACCTACCCTGAGTTCTGTGTTGAAGATGCTTCTTCAGCCCTTCTCTGGAGCTGCAGGAGCAGTGCCTGTGTGCAGAGCTGGAGGGAAGAGACTCCCAGCACAGCAGCACAGCCAGGGACAAGGGCACTTGTTCTTTCCTCATCTCAGCTTTGGGAAAGGCTGGGGAAGGTTGGGAAAGGTGTTAATAGGGTGGTTTTGCCTGAGGTGTTAAATATGGGAGCGGGTCTATCTTCACAATTCCCAAGAGAAGAGATGGCAGAAAGCTGCCCTGCAGGTTGTATTTGAAGGAAGAGGAAAAGAGACCGAGGGGAAGGGGTTTCTTTCCTGGAGGGCAGGGCTGCCCTTCTCTTGCAGGAGCCCCCCCGCTGGAATTGTCAGTCCAATTGCCAAATTGGAATCTGGACAAAGATTCCTGCCAGACAAAAGGTGGCAGGACAGAAAGCTCTTGCTGCACATGGAGTGCCCAGGGTGGCCCACCAACTGCACCTGAAACCCGAAGGTTACAGGCTTTCTTTCCTGGGGGAAAGGCCATGACTTCACAAGGAGTCCCATGGCAGATGGGTGGGGCTGCACTGTGGGGGTGTGGGGCGTTGGTTCTTTGGTTTCCAGGGGCTATTCCAGAATGGAGAGGATGGGCTGGGACATCCTAAAGGGGCACATGGGTGGGGCTGAATTCTGCCCTTGTGGGGTGTTGGTTCTTTGGTTGCCAAGGGCTATTCCGGAATGGAGAGGGTAGGCTGTGACATCACAAAAGGGCTTCAAGCACATGGGTTGGTTTAGTGGTTTGACCCTGTCTGTATTTCAAACACCCACTAAAAGCTGCTACCTCCCTTTCCCTCTGCAACTCCATAGAGGAGAGAAAAAAGAACAACTGAGGTTTCCTGAGTAGAGATAAGGCTGGGGAGAAAGTCAAGTTCTAAAGGGTAAAACCGACTCAAAGTGGGATAGTACTTGAATTTATTACTGACAGGATAAAAGCCAAAGAGTGAGAAACAAAACAGTCTGAAAAACACCTTCCCCCCACCCCTCCTTCATCTTTCTCCCTCTTCCCCCCAGCAGTGCAGGGGGACAAGAATGGGGGTTACAGTCAGTTGTTGTTTCTGTCACTGCTCAGGGAGAGGAGTTGGATCCTTCCCTGCTCCTATGGGGTCCCTCCCACGGGAGACAGTCCTGGATGGACCTCTCCAGTGAGTCCATCCCTCGGGCAGCCAGCTCTTCCCACCCTGCTGTCCCGTGGGTCCCTCTTCCATGGGGTCAGTCCTTCAGGGATGAGCTGACCCGGCGTGGGTCCCCCACAGGGGCCACGAGTCCTGCCAGGAAAAACCTGCTCCAACCTGGGCTTCCCTCTGCATGGGCTGCAGGTCCCTGCCAGGACCTGCTCCATCCTGGGCCTGCCCCGGGGTCACAGCCTCCTTCCTGCATCCCCCTGCTCCAGCGTGGGAGCCTCCAGGGGCTGCAGGGGGGTCTCTGAAAACCAATGCTCATCCAGGGGCTGCGGGGCCTCAGCTCCAGTGCCTGCAGCACCTCCTGCCCCTCCTTCTGCACTGCCCTTGGGGTCTGCATTGCTATTCCCACGTTCCCACTCTGCTCTTCCCTGGCTGTAATTCCTTCTGGCCCTAAATCTGTTATCCCAGAGCTGTTCCTGTTGCTCCTGATGGGCTCGGCCTTGGCCAGAGGCAGCAAGTCTGTCCTGGAGCAGCTGGCATTGGCTCCACGGGGCAGGGGAAGCTTCTGGCAGCTTCCAACAGAAGCCTCCCCTGGAGCAACCCCGCTACCAAAACCCAGCCACAGAAAACCACTATACCCAGTGACTTCCACTTGCCCCAGGATGGTCCCAGTTCCCAGCACTGTGATCCCAGTCACTCCCAGTTCATGCCAGTTGCCTCCAGCATGCACCCTGTCACTCCCAGTTACTCACAGTTGCTTCCAGCATGATCCCAGTTGCTCCAAGTATGTTCCCACTTGGCTTCCAGCACAGCCTCACTGGCTCCCAGTTCCCCCCTGCATAGTTCCACTCACTCCCAGTTTGATCCTGGTCCCTTACAGTCACTCCCACTATGATTCCAGTATGGTGCTGGTCACTCCCACTATGGTCCCAGTCACTCCCAGTCACTCCCAACTGGAGCCAAGTTGCCCCCAAGGTGGAACCAGTTGCTCCCAGCACCCCCAGGATGGTTCCTTTCCCTCTCAGGGACTTCCAGTCTGAGCCCAGGATGGCCCCAGGCACATTCAGGCACTCCCTGGACGATGCCATTTGCCCCCTGCATGGTCCCAGTTGCTCCCAGTATGATCCCACTATGAGTCCAGTCACCCCCAGTAAGATCCCAGAAACTTCCAGACACTTCCAGTACGAAGCCAGTTTGATCCCACTCATCCCCAGTATGGCTGCAGTCCCTCTCACACACTCCCAGTATTATTGCAGTCACTCCCAGTAAGACCCCATCAGGACCCCAGCACGGGCCCAGTTGCTCCCACTATGATCCCAGTTGCTCCCCTTCACCTCTACTATGGTTCCAGTCACTCCCAGAATGATCCCAATCCCTTCCAGCCACTCCCAGTATATCCCAGTTGCCTCCAGCATGCTCCCAGTCAGTCCCAGTATGATCCCAGTCTCTCTTAGTAGGATCCAAGTTACTCCCTGCATTGTCCCAGTTGCTCCCCAGTCACCCCACTGTAATTCCAGTCCCTCCCAGTCCCTCCCAGTATGACTCCAGTATGATCCCAGTGACACCCTCTATGGTGGCAGTCACAGCCAGGATGAACCCAGACATTCCCTATCACTCCCAGTAAAAAGCCATTTGCCCCCAGCAGGGTCCCACTTGCTCCCACTCACCCCACTAGAGTTCCAGTCCCTCCCAGTAGGATCCCTGTCACTCCCAGTCTCTCCCAGTCAACCTCAGCCTGCTCCCAGTCAGTCTCAGTAGGATCCCAGTCACTCCTGGTCTCTCCCAGTATATGCCAGTTGCCCCCAGTGTGGCCCCACTCACTCCCAGTTCCTCCCAGTAGCTTCCAGCATGATTCCAGTTGCTCACAGCTACTCCCAGTCACCCTCAGTTGTGTCCTAATTGCTCCCAGTATGATCCCAGTCACCTCTAGCGTGATCCCACTTGCTCCCAGTATATCCCAGTTGGGCCAACATGGTTCCAACTGCCCTCAGAATGCTCCCAGTCACTCCCAGCCACCTTCACTCAGTTGCTCCCAAGATGGTTCCAGTTGTGCCCAGCATGGTCCCAGTTGCTCCCAGTTCCTCCCAGTGGGATCCTAAGAGCTCCCAGTTACCCCTAGCACAGAACCAGCTGCTCCCAGTATTATCCTAGTCTGATCCCAGTAGGATCGCAGTCACCCCCAGTATGATCCCAGGAACTTCCAGACACTTCCAGTAGGAACCCAGTTTGATCCCACTCATCCCCAGTATGGCTGCAGTCCCTCCCACACACTTCCAGTATTATTGCAGTCACTCCCAGTATGATCCCAGTATGACCCCAGCAGGGGCCCAGGTGCTCCCAGAGTGATCCCAGTTGCCCCAGTTCTGGTCCCACTGGGTCCAGTCCAGCTCTGGGTGTATCCCGGTGTCCCCCCTGTCCCCCACCCCGCTGTCACCCCCTTTTCTCTCCCCACAGAGCTCCTGAGCCGGTGGCAGCGGTCGCAGCCCCTCCCCAGGGCCTCAGGCACAGCCTGGACCCACCCCCGTGTCCGTGAGGATTTTGGGGGGTCGTGTGTCCCCCCTGCCCTGCTGTCACTCTGCCTCCACCCGGCTGCTCCCAGTGATCCCAGCAAAGCTTCCCAGTTCTCCCCAGTCCCTGTTATTGAGGGACACTGGGGGGGAACTGGAGGATCCCAAGGGGTGGAGCCAAGTTTGGGGGGGCAGAACCAGCCCTGGGATGGATCGGGAATGGGGACCCCCCTGTGTTCCCCCCGTGTCACCCTGCTCTGGGGGGGCTTTGGGAGGGCACCTGCCCCTCAATAGGCTCCCAGCTCACCCCAAAAGGTGCTTGGACCCCCACAAAACCTCCCCAACAGCCCCTGAAGGAACCCCAAAGACACTCAGAGCCCACCCAGGACCCCACCCAACCCTATTTCTGGGGGGGCTTCTCTGGGCACTGGTGGGGCTGGGAGCCCCCGGCTGTGAGTCAGTTCTCGGGTGAGCGGGGGGTGAGAAGTGGGAGGTCGGTGGGAAAAGGGGGGTCAGAAGGGATAAAAGGGGTGGTGGGACCCCAAACTGAGTGGGAGGGGAGTGGGAACCCCCAAAAGTGGAGGGGGGCAGGGCAGTGAGGTTTGGGGGATAATGGGGAACGAGTAGGAGGGGTGAGAAGAGTGGGGAAAGGGCAAGGTGGGACCCCCAAACTGAGCATGAGGGTCCTGGGGAGTGGGGGGATGATGTGGAAGGAGGAGAGGGAGGGGGGAAAAAGTGGGGTTTGGGACCCCTAAACTGATCTGGGAGGGGCTGGGGATTGAGGACCATGGAAAAGTGGAAAGAACAGGGAGAAGGGTGGAAGAGGGGGGGGTCTGGTGGGTCAGACAGTCCCATGGGGGTCTTTGGGCACAGAAGGCTGGGAAAGGGGGGTGCCCCCCTGAGCTCTCAACTGACTGTGGGGTGCTGGGGCTGCTGGAACCAATCTCAGCCTTGGGTTATGCCAACACTTTCAGTTTAGAGGAATTACAGAGGTGGGACTGAAACACTTTCATCCCCAAGGTTTTAAGGATGGCAAATCACATCTATTGATAAAAATGAATTCTTTAGGGTTACAAATGATCAGACAAAAGATCTTCATCAGAATTATTTATTGCAAAATACAAACACTAAAACTACCATTAGTACAGGATAAGATAGGACAGTGCTCTACACTAAAGCAGTTGTTGAAGCAATTCTACTCAAGCTGGCACCAAAGCAAGAATTATGAATTAGAGAGGGATGGAACTCCCCCAGACCAACGCTGTGGGGAGATCTCTGCTCTCAACCTCCAGCACTGACCTTGGGGGGTCCCCAGCCAAGGCAGGAATCTCCACACACCCCCCAAGAAGAGTTCTGTTGGCACAACCTGCCTCTGGCAGAGGGGACTGGCTCTTTCTGGTAGAAAGGGATGGACTGACAGTCACTGGACTCCAGGGGTTGCCTCACCATCAGGGGGGTCATTCGGGGTGGGAGCAGCGGCCAAAGCTCTTCCCGCAGTCAGAGCACTCGTAGGGCTTTCCTTACCGGTGGGTCCGTTGGTGTAGGGTCAAAGCAGAGTTCCAAGTGAAGCTCTTCCCACACTCCCCACACTTGTAGGGCCTCTCCCCAGTGTGGATGCGCCGGTGATTTACAAGGTGAGAGTTCCATTTGAAGCCCTTCCCGCAGTGGGTGCAGCGGAAGGGCCTCTCCTCTGTGTGTGTCCGCTGGTGCTTGAGGAGATTGGAGCTGCTTTGAAACCTCTTCCAACATTCCAAGCACCTGTAGGGCCGTTCCCCAGTGTGAATACGCTGGTGTCGGATCAGGTGGGAGCTGTACCTGAACCTCTTCCCACATTCCCCACACGTGTGGGGCCGTTCCCCAGTGTGGATGTTCTGGTGTTGGATCAGGGTGGAGCTGTCCCTGAAGCTCTTCCCACAGTCCAAGCACCTGTAGGGCCGTTCCCCGGTGTGGATGAGCTGGTGTCGGATCAGGTGGGAGCTGTTCCTGAAGCTCTTCCCACATTCCCCACACGTATAGGGCCGTTCCCCAGTGTGGATGTTCTGGTGCTTAATCAGGTTGGAGCTGTCCCTGAAGCTCTTCCCACATTCCAAGCACTCGTATGGCCGTTCCCCAGTGTGGATGCGCTGGTGGATGCGGAGGTTGGAGCTGTGCCTGAAGCTCTTCCCACATTCCATACATGAGTAGGGCCGTGCCCCAGTGTGGATGTGCTGGTTCCTGAGGAGGTCGGAGCTGTCCCTGAAGCTCTTCCCACATTCCAAGCACCTGAAGGGCTTCTCCCTGCTGGGAGGCTGCTCAGGGACCACCAGCTCGGAGCTCCAGCTCAGGCTCCGGCCGCCTTCCTGGCACAGGACGGGTCTTTCCTCCTCAGAACTCCCTGGGCTGGCTTTGCAGCCCCTCCTCCGGGGGCATCTCCGGGCCTTTTCCTCCCCGCTGCCTTCCTGCACCGGGGAGCCCTTCAAAACGGCCTCTCCCACCAGGCTCTGCCGGGGGATTTGTCCTCCATGCTCTCCGTCCTCAGCTCGGGGCCTGGGGCAAGAAGGAAGAAGGACAGGCAGGGGATTTGCCTCTGGCCCAGAGGGAAGGTCAAGCACATCCCCCCCAAATCTGGTCCCCACAGGCATTACAAGACAGGGCCAAAGGGCCACTGACTTCATCCTCACCTGCCTGGGGGGCTCGCGGCAGCTTCCTGGTAGCCTCCTCCTCCATCTGCCCAAGCTTTGGGAAGGACAAATCCTGCTGGGGGGAAACAAGGGCTGAGTGCATTGGCTTGGGGGTTCCTCCTGCCCAAGTCCATCCCTAGAACTCACCAGGCATCCTGGGACCATAAAAACCTCCAAAACACCAAGACTCAGCCCAAATAACCCCAGCCAGGAGCTTCTTATCTCTGGTCTCTCCACTTTGGGATTCTGGAGGTCCTCCCTGTTTGGGCTGCTGGGAGTCCTGTGTGTATTTGGGGTCTCCCCTCTACAGGGTCCCTGCCCTCTCCAGGCTGCTGGTGGTCCCAGGAACCCAAGGCTCCCCCATTTCCCAACTTGAGAGTTCTGGGGGACCTCTAAAACACCAAGATTCAGCCCAGAAAAAACCCAAACCACCAAGATTCAGGCAAAACACCTCAGAAATAGCAAGAAGACACGCGTCCCCAAAATTGCAAAAAGTTGAGATTCAGCTGAAATATACTCCAAATTATGAAGATGACCCCAAAAAAATCTCTCCCAGGAGTTCCCCCTCTCTTGTCTCCCCCCTCTGGGGTTCAGAGGGTCTCCCCTGTCTGGGATGTTGGGGGTCCCACTTAGGGATGTTGGGAGTGCTGGGGGTCCCAAGGGTCCCTTCTCATCTGACTCTCACCTTTGGGGTGCCGCCTTCCCAGACATTCCTTCTTGAAAGGAGAGCAAGGCCTAAAGAATTACCTGAAATATCTTGCTCAGCTGAGAGAAGCCCCCCCACACCTGCTCTGCCTAAATTGCTAAAGAAAAATTTGTTCTGTTCCGTTCCTTGGACCTGATCTAAAGAAGGCTGGAAACATTCTCCAATGGTCTGTAGGCCAGAAATTAAGGCAAAGTCAGCCAAGGTAGACATTTGAATAGGAGAAATAGGCCTAAAGCCAAGGCTCTCTCCAAGCTTCAGTGACTGGGACAAAGATAATGGAAAGTTAGAGGGGTCACACTGAGGAAGACTGCAGAGACCCCAGCCCCGATAATGAAGAAAGGGGGATGAACCTCCAGAACTGAGGGCCAAGAAAAGCTCCACCCCAAGCTCTGCCTGAGCTCTGCCTGTACTCCAGCTATTATCAACATGAATGATTAGATGTTGCAATCATATGAATATGTATCTAAGATGTTGCAATCATAGCAGTTACACTGTATAAATTACCCTGTTTTGTATTGGTATCTTCGAGCAAGAGCTTTGTGGTGCCAACCCTGCCTGCTCCCGATGTCCACAAATAAACACCTTTGCTGCTCAAAAGACCAAAAGCTTCTGGGCAGTTTCTTTACTGGATTTCTCAGATTCATCTGGACAGCAGATTGTGCCCCAGGGATGGGAATGCAGAGGGCCCTCAGGTCCCCAGGATGAAGCAGCAACCACCAATAGATATAAAAGGCCCCCCAAGGATTTCAGAGGGTTGTCCTACAGGGAGGGGACAGTGTCAGCCCACAAGGGCTGGGCTGGCAAGTGGGAGGCTGCTCCAGGTGTCTGCAAGAGGCCTCATGCTCTGCTCGGCCCCATCAGTGGCCGGGACCAACACCCCATCCTCGTGGCCAGCAGCTCTTTCCTGCCCCAGCCAAGAGGTTCCCGGCCCCCCAGAGCTCCCCTGGGGCTGTCCCTGCTCCTCCCTGCAGGCTCCGTGGCCGGGCACACTTTGTGTTCCTGGTGCCACCAGCTCAGCAGCTGCAGCCGCTCCAATCAGCGCCCGCAGCTCTGCAGCAAAGCCCCAGCTCACCTGGCACACAGGGCATGGACACAGCACCTTCTCGCTGCTGGGCACTCCCAGCTCAGCCTCTTCTCCAGCACGGGGCTCTCCTGCCTCAGCACCACCTCTGCCTTCCACTTCTTCTCAGGGCCACCTCAGGGACACCTCTGGGCTCACCTCCGGGCCATTGCTCAGGGACACCTCAGGGCCTGCTCTCCAGCACAGGAACCTGCAGGGAGGGCAGATGATGTGCAAGCCCAGAGGGGCCTGCTTGCACTGGCCTGGGGGCTTCTTTCTCCTTCCACAACCACCCCACAACTTCTCCTGCTTTTCTAACCCCACATCTTTGCAGACTGACCTTGTCTCTCTGTCTGCACAGACACATCTATCCCCTGTGGACAGAGCCTCCAGCATGTGTTGCCCTGGCAATGGCACCCAGAGAATCCCAGAATCAGCCGGCTTGGAAAAGACCTCCCAGATCACCAAGTGCACCCCTTGATCCAACCCCGCCGTGGTTCCCAGACCGTGGCACGGATGCCCAGGGGAGGGGCTTTGGGGATGAGGGCTCTCCCAGTACAGCCCAGTGCCCCCTCAGTGCCCTCCCAGTACAGCCCAGTGTGTTCCTGTCCCAGGGTGCCAGGTGATCCCTCTTTGTTGGGGGTTTGATTGGGATTTGAAGCATTTTGGGGGTCTCTGGGTGCATTTGGGGGAGTTAAAAGGGGTCTTGGGAGCATTGGGGGGGAAAGGTGATTAAATGAAAAATGGGGGTTAGGGGACATTTGGGGGCCTTATTGGGGCCTCGGGGGGACAGCACCATGAGCAGGTGAGTCCTGAGACCCCTCTGGTGTCCCCAAGACCCTCCTGCTGTCCTCAATTTCCCACTTTGCACCCCGAGACCTCCCCTGGTGTCTCCAATGTCCCCAGGGCCTCCCCATGGACCCAATTACCCCCTTGACACCCTCCATTCCACTGTCCCCAAACCTCTCCCCACTGTCCCCAA